CTCCTCAGTGTTCTCCATTCACCAGCCACCCATTGCCCATCTCCTCAGTGCTCTGTATATAGACCATTTGTAGGTGCTATAACTTTCACACAAACCAATTATTACACGCTTATTGGGATTTTTTTTTTACTAAAGACATGTAGCAGAACACATTTGCCCTACATTTATGAAGAAATGTGATTTTTTTTTTTAATTGGATAGATCTTGTAGCAAAAAGTAAAAAATATTGTTTTCTTTTTCAAAATTTGTGGCCTTTTTTGTTTATAGATTAAAAAATAAGAACCCAGTGGTGATCAAATACCACCAAAAGGAAGCTCTTTTTAGGTTAACACTGTGAAACATGGTGGTGACAGCATCATGTTTTGGGGATACATTTCTTCAGCAGGGACAGGGAAGCTGGTCAGAGTTGATGGAATAATGGATGGAGCCAAATATAGGGCAATCTTAGAAGAAAACCTATCTGCAAAAGACTTGAGACTGAGGCGAAAGTTCGCCTTCCAGCAGGACAATGACCCTAAACATACAGCCAGAGCTACAATGGAATGGTTTAGATCAAAGCATATTCATGTGTTAGAATGGCCCAATCAAAGTCCAGACCTAAATCCAAATGAGAGTCTGAGGCAAGACTTAAAAATTTCTGTTCAGATGCTCTGCATCCAATCTGACAGAGCTTGAGCTATTTTGCAAAGATGAATGGGCAAACATTTCACTCTCTAGCTGGGCAAAACTGGTAGAGACATACCCAAAAAGACTTGCAGTTGCACCAGCGTAGGGTCTGACAATGGGTCCAAGAATTTCATCCCGATACCTAACGGCAGTCAGGGTGCCATTGTCTAGCCTGTAGTGGTCTGTGCGTCCCTCCATGGATATGCCTCCCCAGACCATCACTGACCCACCACAAAAACGGACATGCTGAACAGTGTTACAGACAGCATAACATTCCCCATGGCTTCTCTAGACCCTTTCACATCTGTCACGTGCTGAGGGTGAACCTGCTCTCGTCTGTGAAAAGCACAGGGTGCCAATGGCTGACCTGCCAATTCTGGTGTTCAAGCTCTATGGTCCAGGCAGTGAACACAGGGCCCACTAGAGGGCATTGGGCCCTCAGACCACCCTCATGAAGTCTGTTTCTGATTGTTTGGTCAGAGACATTCACACCAGTGACCTGCTGGAGGTCATTTTGTAGGGCTTTGGCAGTGCTCATCCTGTTCCTTCTTGCACAAAGGAGCAGATACTGATCCTGCTGGTGGGTTAAGGACATTCTACAGCCTTATCCAGCTCTCCTAGAGTAACTGCCTGTCTCCTGGAATCTCCTCCATGCTCTTGAGACTGCTGGGAGACACAGCAAACCTTCTGGCAATGGCACGTATATTGATGTGCCATGCTGAAAGAGTTGGACTGCCTGTGCAACCTATGTAGGTCCAGGTGTCACCTCATGCTACCAGTAGTGACACTGACCCTAGCCAAATGCAAAACTAGTGAAAAACAGTCAGAGAAGATGACTAGGTAAAAAATGTCAGTGGCCTCCACCTGTAAAACCATTCATGTTTTGTGGGGTCATCTCCTTGTTGCCCATCTAGTGCACCTGTTGTTAATTTCATTAACACCAAATCAGCTGAAACTGATTAACAACCCCCTCTGCTACTTTAATGACCAGATCAATATCACAGGAGTTTAATGGACTTGATGCTATACTGATTAAAGTGTTCCTTTAATTTTTTTGAGCAGTGTATTTTCTGTCATAGATACTGCCGTGTGAATAAACCTTTTTTTTTTTTTTCACAAATTTAAGAGAGTTCCAAAATAAGCAAAGCAAAAATACCATAAACCGGAGTTCTAAAATCCAACCCAACCTTTCTAGCTCATGTTTTGGATGAGATACTGTTTTGGTAGGTTAATGCTGGTAATGTGTGTCATAGTGCCTCTGTGGAAATCCATCTTCATTTTACACAAGGCAGCCTCACTAGTGCTCATCATGGTTCCACCAATGCAGGCCATGGTCATCATCATTTAGATCACAATATTATAACAGACATGCTAACCAGTTTATGAGAGGGGGAAAAAAAACAAAACAAAAACATACACACACGGTCAGTAATTTTTATTTGAGACAAGAATTTCTACTGGGGCAAAAGAAATTTGATTTGACACCAAGAAACCTGGCATATTGCATGCAGCAATTAGTGATCTCTCCTGAAAAAGCTAGATGGCTGGGTCATCCTGACTCAGTGGTTACAATACTTGCATCACAGACCTGGAATAATTATGTAGAAAAGGCCTTAAAACCAGTGAACCAGCATTGCAGTCATGTAACTGGTATTTTCAGAAAATACATCTTAATATTCTTTGTGGAAAAAGTAGGTAACAAGTGAGTAATGAGGTAACCCCAGTCTGTGTGTGAACAGGCCTGCCTCACCTTCTGCTTGATGCTGAAAATGCTACTTTCCTGCTGCCTGAATAGTTAACACTCAGGAAAAAAAAAAACAGCAATAGATGTGCAAATTTGTACTCAAAAATGGTTTGGCATATTTCAAAGATTGTATTTAAGACAATGTATTCACAATATGGCAGCACAGAGGGCTTTACAAAAATGTCTGGTGGTGATCAAGAGAAATAATCTGTAGATTAATGCCAACTGTCCTCCGTTACTGGAATTTGTTTGTGTCCTCCTCCAAGGAGGACACAAACAAAGGACAAAGACAAGATAGCATTCTGGCACCAGTAATATAAATGACAGGAGACAAAAATGATAAAACATAAAAGATATGGAATTCATTTTTTTGAGAACTTCTTGACATTTTTAGATTTCTTATGGCAACTTTTTAACTTCTTGCGGGACGGCCCTGCCTGCTTCTGTGGGGAGAGAGAGAAAAAACATCAGATTGTCGATCATTCTTTATTATATAATGCTCTACAATCTAACACATGAATACCTGTGTCCGTTTTCTGTGGCTGTTAACACTCTCCTCCACTTCCATCTCTTCACCACTCTCTGATTGAAAGTCACCATTTTCTCCATCACCTATAGTTTTCTTTGTGAATATGCGAGCTGCAAGCAAAAATGTTTTTCCAGTTGAGAATAATTTATACAATTAAAAGCTTCACTTTGACACTCCAGCAGTAGCACATAAAAGTGTTAGTAGAGGTCCACCTAGTAAAGGGTAATTTAAATGAGTATCAAGGAAAAGCACAAGAAGAGGAGATTAAGGGGGGATATGATCAACATGTATAAATACATCAGTGATTCATATAGTAAACTCAGTGTAGAGCTATTCACCTTGAGGTCACCACAGAGGACAAGGGGGGAACTCTTTACCTCTGGAGGAAAAGAGATTTAATCTCCAAACATTTACAATAGGATAAAGGTTCAAGTGTTGTGATCCAGACTAGGTATATAGGATTAGGCCTAGTGTGTGCTTCCTCATGGGGTAAGGATAAGGGGTCTGGTATTGTGGTCTGGATTGGAGCTATGAATGAAATATCAGGCCTGGTGTCCTCCAGATGTGAATAAAGGGGTCAGGTTAGATGTGCTCCAAACTGGATATATGAATAAAACGTCAGGTCAGGTGAGGTACACTAGATTATCATAATTACAAAGGGCCAGGTCAAGTGTTGAGGATACAAAAAGCGTCAGGCATTGTGGTCCAGATTAGAGAAACAGATAAAAGGTTGGATCAGGCTCAATGTTGTGCTTCAGACATGGATATAATAAAGGGTCTTGTGTCATGCTTTAGATTGTGGATATGATAAAAAGTAAAGTGTTGTCCTCTAGATTGGGAATAGGATAAATGGGTAGGTCTGGTGTTGGGCTCTGGATTGAGGGGTCTAGTAAAGTTATCAGAGTAATTAAGTAACGTTGTGCACTGAAATTATGCTGGATGTATCAGACAGCAGAGTGGCAAAACCTTAACAAATATTGTGACTTATAAAGTAAATATTTAGGAACAGTTCACACTGCCGTGACTTGGGATCCGACTTTTGAGACGCCAAATTGCATGACATGTGAAATCCCATGTTAGTCAATGAGAGTTGTCTTAATTAGCACTAATGAAGTCACTCCGACTTTAGAAAAGGTTCCTGTACTACTTCAAGGCGACTACTATCCAACTTGTGCCCATAGACTTTAATGGAAGTTCCCTCCTCATTTATATTGATATAATTTAGATCCAACATTACATTCTTATTGGCCACAGGCAAAGTCGCATGGCATGAAAGTCACATCAAAGTGGTATGTAAGTTGCCACAAATCACCAGGAAGTCACCTGGCAAAGCTGCTCCGTAAGTCGCACAACTTTCAGGCCGCAGTAGTGTGAACCAGGCCTTACTGATAGAAATGTTTAGGCTTCCACGTTCCCATGCGGTGTCACCACATTCCAATTGTACTGCCTTTGCAGTGGGTGTCAATACAAAGTTTACAACACCCCAAACGCAGGTTACAAACACAATGCGTTTGCCCACACCAGATTGCATGGTACAAAGTACCATGCAATCTGTTTGCATGGTACAAAGTATCATGCAATCTGTTTGCAGTGCGTTTCAAAACATAATGCATGGACTACTTTTGGTGTGGTGCTATTTCAGCCAATTCAAAATGAATGGGCTGAAATCAAACTGCACAGAACTGCATGTGCATCGCACAGGAACCATCCAGCATTCCTGTGCAATTCACATGCAGTTTCTAGTGTAAAAGGGCCCTGTGACACAAAAATTCCAGCTCCTAGCTCTCCCTGGATTCAGTACTGTGTCAGTCATTAGCCAGAAAAGGTGTGCAGATATGAAATGGTTAAATTTTAACATGTTACATCCAGGATATGGGTGTATATATGTTCCAAAGGTGAACTTATCCTTTAAAAAAGTCAGGGTGAAGTGGGGAAACCCTGATCTGTCAGTGACTTCTGAATCCTATGGATCACGTTGAAAACACAGAAAGGAGCGTTTTCTGAATTAGGGGCAGGCATTGGCAGCCTCCATAACCCCTAACTACAGGTCTCCTTGAAGTGTTAACATACAAAAGGCGCCATCTTAACATCTGATGCAAGTTTTACTACAAACATGGAAGACTGCAGTTTTTTGTTGGATCTTACGGCAAGGAGTAGTGGATTCAGTGGCTGCAGCAGCATGTAATTACTAATACCTGGATAAAGGTCACTCATACTGTCACCAGAGTCACTGTCTTCACCACTGCTATCATTTGGCTCCCACAGTTTTTTTTTGGCAGCTTCTCCATCATCCCTGAATTTTCGTTGCTTGGTCTTGTTCTGGAGACAAGTAGGCACATATTCCACCCCCAGCTTCTGGCATTCCTCATCTGAAAGAAAGGTCACGCTGACTTAATAAAAACTAGCTACGTGCATTATGGTCTGTGCAACTTTTCTTTAATCCAGTCATATCTTATGCTTGTAGAATGTGTGGTAGCTGTAAGACACAACACAACCAGAAAAGACTCTGGGTTCATTTGAGGAAAGGACTGCAGAAGAAAACTTTTAAACAATCTATAGTGTAATCTTACAGAGGTGGTTGTGTACATTTGTATTTTATTAATGAAACATCAGCAATGTTGAAAAGAAATGAGTGAAAGCATAGACTATTTTGCAACAGAGTCACTAGAAAAATTTGATTGTATAGAAAGAAAAAACATTCCTAGTGCATGGGCACCTTGGGAATGAAGATTTCACATGACAGACCTGATGCGGAGAACTACTGTTGTCGTGGATGAGCAGTCGTTTAGATGGAGCTCTCTAGTGCTATCTCCAGAATGTCAGAAAGCACAGCGGAAGGGGTATTCATACTGGGAAAAAAAGCTCCATATGTGCCTTTCATAGACATAGTTGGATCTAGGGAGGTGCTGTGGTTTCAGTTGTGCCTCCCCAGGCTGGGTGCCCACCCTTCTCCCATGTACATTGCCGTGCCCGCTAAGCTCCCCCCCCATCCCTGCACTCCAGGCTGGCCGCAGTTTTTGTAAAGTAATCTGTCCAGACAGGAGCAGCAGAGAAGAGAGAGCGGTGAAGAGATGCGGGCTCTCTGTGTTCTCCCCCTCCTGTCATAACAGCAATCCTCCATACAACAGGTTACTCAGGATCGCTATTACATCCGACAATATACAGCTTCAATACCCTCCCCCATCCACATTTCCAAGAGTTGAGCAGTCTTTGGAGGAGATGGGGACGGGTATCAAAGCCGTGTACCTTGGGATGTAATAGCGATCCTGCTGTTTGGAGGATCGCTGATACGATGGGAGGGGGAGATCACACAGAGCCCGCATCTCCTCACCAATTGGGTGTAATATGTGCTATTAGGGTGATTTGGGTATGCAGGGATTTGTGCTGGGAAGGGTAATTTGTAGGCGGTTGTGCTAGGAGGAATTTGGGGAAGGGGGGTGAGAGGATTTATGCTAGGAGTGGGGTTTGGGGCGAGAGGGTTTGTGCTACAAATGGGGGGAATTTATACTACAAGGGATCATTTTTACTAGGAGGGGGGATTTGGGAAGAGGATTTATGCTAGGAGTCGGGATTTGGGGAGAGGATTCGTGCTAGAAGGGTGAATTTGGTAAAGGATTTATGCTAGGAGTGGGGATTTGTACTGGGGAGGGAATTGGGGAGAGAGAATTAGTACTAAGAGTGGGGATTTGGGGGAGAGAGTTTGTCCTGGGAGAGGGAATTTGGAAGGAAAGAGGATGTGTGCTAGGAGGGGTGATTTTGGGGGCATGGAGGATTTGTTAGAGATTGGGGAGATTTGAGCTGGAAGGTGGGATTAGGGGGCAAAGATTTGTGCTGGAAGGGGGGTTTGGACTTTGAGGATGTGGAATTTCTGTATTTTTATTTGGGTAGAATTTGGGCTTGCAGAAGAAATTTTTTTTTTTTGGGGGGGGGGGGGGGGGCTGGCATTGCAGTTTGTCACCTTCACCTTGAGTGCTAGATCACTTTGTCCTGACACTGCCCACAAGGCACTCAACAGATCTCCTCCCCACAGAACATGTAGCTGAGATCAGATACCTCACAGCATTGATCTGCACAATGTGTAGCTGGCTGCAGTTCTAACCTGTGAAATTCCCTGATTGGACTGGCAGCTGCATGCTGTGTGGAGGAATACTGATCTCAGCGATTTGCTGTATGGGGAGGAAGAGATATCTTAACCACTTCAAGTCCAGACACTTTCACCCCCTTCCTGTCCAGGCCAATTTTCAGCTATCACACTTTGAATGACAATTGCGCAGTCATGCAAGACTGTACCCATATGAATTGTTTAGCATTTTTTTGAGACAGATAAAGCTTTATTTTGGTGGTATTTATTCACCACTGGGATTTTTTTTTTGCTATATAAATGAAAAAGTCCAAAAATTTTGAAAAAAAGTGTTTTTATTATAAAATTTTGCAAATAAATAATATTTCATCATACATCTTGGCCAAAATTATTCAGTTATCTTTTTAGTTTATAACCAAAAATTATAATTTTTAAAAAAATGTTTTATATTTTTATATTATGTATTTTTTTATTTTTTTTTTTTTTTTTTTTTTTTACACACTGTCACCCTAGTAGTACAGTGTCACCATGGTGATACTGTACTACTTGTGGGGGGGGTGATGAAGATTTTTTTTTTTTTACACTGATTGCTTTTACACCCATAAAGATTGTAAAAGCAATAATTTCTCCTTCTCTCTGGCTGCATTCTTGCAGCCATTGAGAAATACTGTGTGAGCTGTGATTGGTCACAGCTTGTCACATGGTACAAGGCTGTTGTGAATAGCCTTGTGCCATGTGACCTCTGTGATCATTCACAGATTTCACACGTAGTAAGCAATGATGTCAGAAGTGACATCTTGCTTACTACTCTGCATGTGATCACTGATTGGCTAATCAGTGATCATATGATCGGGACCTCACACAGAGGTCCCGTACGACGATCAGTGTTCCAAAGTGTCTGGAGGACACAGCGGGCACCAGATTGCGGTGCTGCATGCTCCCAGGGAGCGCGCACAAGCAGGGGGCGGGGAGGCTGTTTATATATGGCCACCCATCCCTGCACTGCCACCGTCTGGCCGTTTATATACAACGGCCGGACGGTAGGTGGTTAAGTGCCTTGCAAAAGTGCCCCTGTCCTCAACTCTGCTTACCACTGTCTTCCGCCATGCTGACTCCTGTACCCCTGCCCTGCTGACCTCTATATCTTCTTTCTTGTTGACCCCTGTCCTCTGCCATGCTAACCCCTGTACACTGCCCTGCAAACTGCTTACCCACTGTAAGCTGCTCCACTGACTCTAATACACTGTCCTGCTGACCTTGCATCCTCTGCCCCCCCCCCCTGACATTTTTACTGCACCCCCAAATCAGACAGGCTAGATCTGGCACTGTTCGCAGAGGGAGAGAGAAAACCCTGCTGAGGGCCATATTCCCAGGACACACAACCTGAAAATCATCTTCTGCCTGTTCCAATAAGCAGTAGGCTGTAGACAATGCAAGTGCTGAAGGGTCTCAAAATGTCACTATTGCTCATGGAATCATAAGTAGATCTGGTGAGGAATCTGCACTGTAACTCACATTTACGCAGTGCTCGCTGGTAGCGTTTTCCATTTATGTGTCTCTCAACATCTTCCAAACGCTTTGTGATGTGACGGAGTGTCAGCTTACAGAACAGCTGCCCTCTGAAAGGAAAATAACTATCATTTCAAACATGTTTTTTTTCATTAGCCCGACACATAATATCAGCCTGACTGGCTCCTCCGATAGGTGGTTCTGTTATACCTAAAGTTTCCCTTTTTCTAATAACATCAAACCGAATTCCACCCTTCACTTTTCTAGGTTGAGAAAAAGCAAAGTAGTAAATTCTGACTTGCAACTGTGGATGGATCCTCTTTTCTGATGTTCAGTCATTTTTGACTATACGATTCTATAGGCATCATATCTGACATGCTTGAGAACCTTTTTCATAGAATTTTCTTGCCAATTTATTTTGTGCTGTAGGTCACCAGGTGGTTCCTCAACCTTTCCAACTGCTCAGGCTTGGAGCCAGCATATGATAAAGTTTGCATAGCCAATTTTGTACACACCAGCAATACCAGCAGGTATTTGGAGTGTGGGAGTAAACCCACAAAAACACTCAAACTCCATGCATATGGTGTCCTATTTAAGATTTGAGCCAAGGAACCCAATGCTTCAAGGCATAAGTGCTAACCACTAAACCAAACTACTGTCCTACCCTCCCATCGAACAGCAATGTGTTTATGCAAAAGGATGGCATTATTTTCAGCAAAAGTCTAATTTAAGTATTTGATTGCAGTGTAATTTTTAATACGACTTTTCATTTTTACAAGCCTGCTCTTTGTTAATGAATGACAAAGAATTGTATTTATCTGCTGGACATCCCCATGATGACCTTAGTTGAAGTCCCAGTACGGAAAAACTATATTATTGCACAAATCCCCAAAATATAATGCTATGACACTACCTTTAGGTGTATACATTTAATAGAAAAATTAGCTATTTGCAGTTTATTTGTCAGAAGAGATACTGGGGAAGGAATTTTTCACAAACCATAGACTATGCAGCCAGCTGGTATGTCAGGTTGTCCTTTTTGCCTGTAACCCCATTTGATGGATTAACTCTCAATGACACCCTGATAGCTGAACAGAAAGTAAGGAGGCAATCACCCCATTGGGAATTGTAGCAACAATTAAAGTATAACTAAAAGCAAAACTTCTTTTTTAGTTTTGGAGAGTGGAGAGGAATTAGAACACTTACTAGGATTTTTATGGTAGTCTGTGTCCGTTATTTGTCCTGTATACCATTATCATTGGAAGTAAAAGAAAACTTCAAACTTTGGGTTGCCCGAGAAAAGTAATAGAGTGGAAATTTTCCAATGGGGACTCTTGTTCTAGTGACCTGGGAGCCACAAGGAACCCCCTTAATGTGCTGGGATTTTCTCTTACTTCCTGTTTTGCTATGTGACAGGAAGTGAAGGGAAATCTCCAAAATGAGATTGCAAAAAAAATAAACTGACTGGGGTTATAGCACTCCCTTACTCTAACCAAAATGAAAAAAAAAAAAGTTTTGCCTTTAGTCCTCCTTTAACTGTTCAGTACAAAGTAAGCCAGCTGACATACGTGTTCTTGGTGCTGGGGACTATGTGGGGCTCATATTTGCTGCCGTCAAATGATACTTCCATCAGATTCTTGTATTTCTTCCCAGTGGTGAAGTTCTGCAGGTCAGGGAGTCTACAGGGCAGCTCATGTCCAGTCAGGGTGAAACGGATCTGAAGAGAAGAAGAGCAGATTACTGAACTACAAAGGATGGAAATGGAAGGGAACACCATAATGAACCACTGCTAGTCAGGCCCATGGGGGTTGATTTACTAAAACTGGAGCGTGCAAAATCTGGTGCAGCTCTACAAGAGAAACCAATCAGCTTTCAGTTTTTATTTTGTTAAAGCTTAATTCAAAAAGCTGAGGTTAGAAGCTGATTGGCTACCGTGCACAGCTGCACCAGATTCTGAGTGCTCCAGTAAATCTCCCCCTGGGTGTCCTGGAGATACTGCAAGGGTTATTCCACCTGACAGAAAATCTGCATAAATAGAGCAATTCAGAGCCATGTGGTGATATCCCATCATTTCATCACCCAGTTCTACTGGAGGATCCATCCTAGGTAAAATACACGTATCTAGTACAACGAGGCTGGCCATCAGCGTACATGTCCCATGTTACTCCCACATGTCACACCCCTCCAGGGCATGTATTTCCCCAACATCACCACCCCCTCTGGGCAAGTACTCCCCCAACGTCACCCCGGGGCAGGTACTCCCCCAACGCCCCCACCCCAGGCAGGTACTCCCCCAATGTCACCTTCGCCCCCTCCAGGCAGGTAATCCTCAACATCAACACATATTAGCCTGCCCCCAGGAACAGGGTTGCCACCTCATCCCTTTAAAACCGAACACATATTAATTACACAGGTTATGTGGTTGATTAAGGTGCTAATTAAACTCAGTTCCTTATCTGCAAAAAATGAACCTCAGAACCTGTGTAATTAATATAAGTTCGGTTTAAAGGGATGAGGTGACAACCCTAGTTGGGGAAGCACGAATCAACACCCCCCCCCAGGGCAAATAGCCCTCAACGTCACCCCACTGGAGCAATTATTCACTTTGTTCCCCGAGACTGGCTGCAGCTCAGGGTGTTGGAGCAGAAATCCCCGCACATCCTCCGTCAGCTCCTCCATGCTAGCAACACGTGTTCTCCCGTCCCAAGAGGCAGAAACCCTTCTGGGCTACGCCAAAATGGCGGCAACGGAGCTGCTGCTTGCCTCCATGGTGACCGGTGCACGTGACCCGGAAGTGGTGGAAGGAGGAAAAATGGCCGCATTATGGTTGTTACTGTGCCGGAGGGGCGTGAGAGAGGGGAAGGTGAGGGTCACGGAGTGACTGGGTGTGTTTGTCCTTTATGGGCACACTATGTGTGGGAATCTCTGTATACCTGTATTGTCCCTGAGCTTTCCTCTCTCTCTGCTTCTTACCCTCTTCCTGCAAAGGCCAATTTTCACCTTTCAGCGCTGTTGCACTTTGAATGTCACTTTCACGGTCATGCAACATTGCACCCATATGACATTTTTATCATTTTTTTTTTTTCACACAAATAGAGCTTTCTTTTGATGGTATTTAACCACCACTGGGGTTTTTATTTTTTGTGCTACACAAAAAAGTTTTCTTTGTTTTTATTATAAAATTTTGCAAACAGGTAATTTTTTCTCCTTCACTGATGTGTGTTGATGAGGCGGCACGGATAGGCAGCACTGATGAGGCGGCTCGGATAGGCAGCACTGATGAGGCGGCTCGGATAGGCAGCACTGATGAGGCGGCACGGATAGGCAGCACTGATGAGGCAGCTCGGATAGGCAGCACTGATGAGGCGGCTCGGATAGGCAGCACTGATGAGGCGGCTCGGATAGGCAGCACTGATGAGGCGGCACGGATAGGCAGCACTGATGAGGCGGCACGGATAGGCAGCACTGATGAGGCGGCACAGATAGGAAGCACTGATGAGGCGGCTCGGATAGGCAGCACTGATGAGGCGGCACGGATAGGCAGCACTGATGAGGCGGCACGGATAGGCAGCACTGATGAGGCGGCACGGATAGGCAGCACTGATGAGGCGGCACGGATAGGCAGCACTGATGAGGCGGCACGGATAGGCAGCACTGATGAGGCGGCACGGATATGCAGCACTGATGAGGAGGCACTGATAGGCAGCACTGATGAGGCCGTATGGATAGGCAGCACTGATGATGCTGCACGGATAGGCAGTACTGATGAGGAGGCACGGATAGGCGGCACTGATGAGGCGGCACTGATAGGCAGCACTGATGATGCTGCACTGATAGGCAGTACTGATGAGGAGGCATGGATTGGCAACACTGATGAGCATTGATGAGGAGGCACTGATGATGCTGCACTGATAGGCAGTACTGATGGGTGGCACGGGGGGTGACACAGCTGGACGGCACTGATCATCAGTGCAGATCTGCTCTGTGACATTTGCCAGTTATTGGCAGTATTTTCCTCACGCCGTGACAGCAATTGTATTTACTCATTGGACACAGCTGATCATGTGGTAAAAGGCTGCTGTGATTGGCTTTTTACCTAGTCATATGATCAGCTGTGTCTGTAGGATACAGCGATCACTGACAGGGAGGCGTGTTCTGGGAGGATGTCATATGAGGCCCTACCAGAATTGGACAACCGTGCTGTAGTCGTCATTTGGCTATAGTAAACTTGTAAAATGGTTAAAAAGTAACTCCACTTTTGTTAAGGAAAAGAAAACCCTTCCCCTCTGAGTGATCTATGAACATTGAAGGGATCTCTACTAACGTTGTTACAGATTCCCGCCTGTCTGCTCTGAGGAAATGTGTGCAGAGTGATTGTGAATTAGAGTAACTTTTCTTTTTTCATTAAAGTGGAACTTTACCCATAACTATTTGTTTAAACTCAGCGTTCTTTAGCAAGGAACATACATTCTGCATTAATAATTATGCCACCAAAATTAGTGTGTGCTGTAAATTGTATCCAGTATTGTTCCTGGTTCTTTTTCCTGGAGGCTGCCATTTTGCTGAAACGCAAAGGCCCCTGAGCAGCAGTAAATCTTTAGGAGTTTGGCAGATCAGCCTCTACGTTTTCACTACAATGCCAAAAAAAGACAGCAACTGAGCATGTGCAGAGAAGGGTGAGACAGTGTATTTTAACTACGTCAATACAGGCCAATTCTGACACTTCTCACATATATGTAAAAATCTAAATTTTCAACAGAGGTCCTAGAGCAATGTTTCTCAACCTTTTTTCAGTCAAGGCACCCTTTAAAATTATGGACAGTCTTGAGGCACCCCATTCTAAAATGTGAAAAGCTATTCTAATAGTTGTATATAACGCAGCAATATGCACACATGTAAGACACCCAACGATGGAGGTGATTTGTTCTTCCAAAGCAAATACCCTTTTGCACACTGGTACTGACTAGTATTCCTATGTTTCTCTTCTCCCTCAGCTTTTCTCCATCACTGAGCTAATGTGACCCCAGCACTGATGGGGAGGGGCAGGGGAGGGGCAAACAAGGATCCTGTGCAGGCAGCCGACTTCCTCCCTATCAACTGATGAAGTTATTGGTTGTCAGGACGCCTGCGGCTAGAAGGTCATAATGGTGCACAATGAAAACCTGTGTCTTTGTGTAATGAAAAGGCAGGCTTGCTCCACCCGCTGGCTTGTATACCAGTTTTGGGCAATTGTTAGACATTTTGCCAAGGCACCCCTGAAGTAACTTCAAGGCACCCTGGTTGAGAAATGCTGTCCTACAGAATATAATGGTGGGTGTTGCAATTTTTTATGTCACACAGTATATGCGCAGCAGTTTTTCAAATGCAATTTTTTTTTTATACAAAATACACTTTAATGAATTTTATTGCATGCAAACACTATATAGTACCCACGTTTTTGGTAAAATCTAGAAGATGATGTTATGCTAAATAAATAGAAACCTAACATGTCACGCTTTAAAATTGCGTACACCTGTGGAACTGCGCTAAACTACAGTACCTAAAAATTTCCATAGGCGACCCTTTAAACGCCTTTACTGATTACCAGGTTAGAGTTATACAGGAGGTCCTGAGCTAAAATTATTGCACTCACTCTGATATTCAAACAGTACCTCGCATGTGTGGTGCGATCACCGTTTACATATGTTTGTGGACTTGTGTATGCGTTCACATTTGCATGTGAGTACAAGGGGATGGAGCACTTGAATTTTTTTTTTAAATTATTATATATTTTATTAAAAACATTTTTACACTGTCCCTTTAATTTGTTTTCCTATCAACATATGCTGCTGGTCGGATCAGTCCTGTGTTCTCTTTTCCAATCAGGGAGCCTGGGACCGATCAGGCTGGCGGCATCTGCAGCAGGAAACCCCCTTCCGCTGCCCACAGAAGTGATCGAGTGGTTGTTCAGCCACTCAGATCACTTCTGCGTAACAGGGAATTGCTGGCTCCATTTTTTGATTGATACGGGGATGATGCCTGCAGGTGCCAAGCCAATCACATCATCAGGAAATGACACTTCTGGGGTAGTTCTGTGCACCATCCTTGTACAGAACTCTTCCAGGGTGCCGTATTGCATTTTAGCGCTTTTTCACATGGGCAGAAAAAGCACTGCCTTTAGATGCGTACAACAGATTTTCAGTGCATCTAAATGCAGCACTATAGTAATCAGTAAGGCCTTATGCACATCTACGTCTACATATGAAAATGTGCGCTGCGTTTAGCCAGACATAGCAAAAGGTTTTACATGCATGGATTTTACCCATGTATACGTATAAACAAGTGTTCTTTAGGCAAGTAATTTACCAAGGATCTTTCTTTCATGCAGAAAATGCGCATCTAAAGCGTTTTTTTTTTTTTCTGTCTGTGTGAATTAGCCATTATAGAAAACTATAGTGCTGCAGATTGAAAAAAGAAAGGTCATTTCTAATAACACTGTACAATATGGCTTGTGCAGCAATTTTATATGCTAGATAATTTTTTTATTTGCTATTTTTTTCCCCGCAAAAGTGGAGTTGCCCTTTAAAGTTCACCTTCAGAACAGTGATCCTCAGGTCCTCAGTACTGCAGTCCAGGCTTAAGAAATATACTTTCATGGGGAGTAGCATCTTGCTGTTATTAAAGGGATTGTAAATGCTGCATTATATTTTTTTATTAAAATAATAAATATGTTATACTTACCTACTCAGTGCAGTGGCTTTACACAGAGTAGCCCCGAACCTCCTCTTCTCAGGGTCCCCCACTAGCACTGTCCACTCCTCCTCCCTGCAATGTGCCCGCATTGCAAGCTGCTTGCTATGCAGGCACTTTTGCAGGTTCGCTCCCCAGCTGGCTCTGTGTGTCCATTGATACACAGAGTGTGGCTCAGAGTAGATGGGAAGATGGCTGGAGCCAAATACAGGACAATTTTAGAAGAAAACCTGTTAGAGTCTGCAAAAGTCTTGAAACTGGGGTGGAGGTTCACCTTCCAGCAGGACAACGACCCTAAATGTACAGCCAGAGCTACAATGGAATGGTTTAAATCAAAGCATATTCCTGTGTTAAAATGGCCCAGTCAATGTCCAGACCTAAATCCTATTGAGAATCTGTGGCAAGACTGGAAAACTGCTGTTCAGAGACGCTCTCCATCAAATCTGAGATACCTTGAGCTATTTTGCAAAGAAGAATGGGCAAAAATGTCACTCTCTAGATGTGCAAAGTTGATAGAGACATCCCCAAAAGACTTGCAGCTGTAATTGCAGTGAAAGGTGGTTCTACAAAGTATTGACTCAGGGGGGCTGAATACAAATGTGCGTCACACTCTTCAGATATATATTTGTAAAAAATTTTGAAAACCATTTATCATTTTCCTTCCACCTCACAATTATGTTCCACTTTGTGTTGGTCTACCACATAAAATCCCAATAAAATACATATACGTTTTTGGTTGTAACATAACAAAATGTGGAAAATTTCAAGGTACTGTATACCCAAAATCAGCAACAAAAGCCTGACACAGAATCTAACCTTTCCCAATAGTTTTGGTTGGTGTTCCTCTTTATGTCAGTGACCGTCGGCTCTCTGGATGCTTTCAAAGAGTTGATAAATACATAAGAGCATTCTGGACCCAAAAAATCTGCAGTCCAGCAGGTCAGGTGTGC